AGAATTTGAAATTTGTGGATCATGTTAAACAACTCACTAGAAAACTCTCTTCTGGCTGTTATACGGTTATAGTGATTTATAAAGAATTGAGGTTCAGCACTGGTACGCACTATGAGGGCGTACTATGCCCTCATAGATCCTCACTTACGCTACGGAATACCGTTTTGGGGAGCATGCAGTCCAACTTTATTCAAAAGTCTATTAATTTTGCAGAAAAGTGCAATACGGTATATAGGAAACCTTAAACCAAGAGACTCCTGTAGAACCGTCTCCAGAATACATAATATTCTAACGGTAACTGCATTATTTATACTGGAATCTGTGTGTTTGATAAATAAGCATGTGATAAATTTTGCTGCATCCTCTTTCCATTATAATACCCGAAACTGCAGACACACTCTGAAACCCACTGTGCCAACTAAAAACATTACCAGAGACTCCATATTTTACAACGGTGGAAAAATGTACAATAATTTGCCTATAGACATAAGATCTGCCAATATGAATGACTTCCAATTCAGGAAGTTAGTCAAACAATTTCTATCTGATAGACCCTATTATTATACCTTGGATGAATATTTTAACGATAGCATTCAACTGACTTACGCATATTTTTTATCTTCATTCATTAAGGAGCTCTTAAGTTGTTAGTTTTTATGTCTACTCTTTTATAAACTTGGCTTTCACTCTTTTATATATACATATCTTTTATATCCTCCATTTCAACATAGTTTGTACCCATGCACTATTTATATTTTTATTTTTATTTCAGTTGGTATGTATTGCATTTTTTTAAGTATGTATACACAAGCTTTGTCTACAAGATTATGTCTCATGATAATAAAGCATATTATTATTATATCGCCGGACTATTTCGAGTGTTTTTTTCTCCAAAAACGTCTATCTATTCAATATTTTCTGAAACAAATTACTTTTTCGAAATACCCTATAATGAATATTTCTATTTACGGATCAAGTATTCTATATCTATATAATTCAAACAATGACTCGGTTTGTAGTTTCGTCAGTTTCCGCGTTGAGCTCATCTGTCGTTGTAAGTATATATGGCACCTACCTAAATGTTCATATTTGTATACACAACAAGAACCATGACATCACGTACGGAAAGTTAGTTATATTTTCTTCCTAAAAAGATTACAAATTTGGTTTTTACCGTTTGCGAAATGAATTCCGGTGATGTTGTTGAATTTTAATGATCCCATTTGAATGCTTAATGTAAATTGAATTTATACATTCACTGTTACTGGTTCAGGGTGAGCTTGACAATCTCCCATTTTGTTTCTTGTATCAATTCCCCTTCTACGCTAAATCTGTTTATGAATAATTTCATGCAAAAAATTTAGGAGAATTCTGCTGACAGTATATCTGTCATCTGAAAATTGTTCAATGCCGCAAAGATGTCCTACTCACCTCGAAAACCGATACCAAGAAGTAGTAAATGCACTTAAGACAGTCACTGACAAAGGATACCAAATTTTTTGACAAATCCAGTTAGTATTAAATGCAAACAACACAAAACACCCCATTAAAAATAGTTACTAGTTTATTATGAAAGTATGCGAAAGTTACAAAAATTGGAGAACTTCATTTTAATAAACAGAACAGGAGAATTACTAGGTCGAATACCTCTTACACTATACAGGCTGATTCACGGTGGATGGCACATTAGACGTTTCTGGTGAACCAGACAACGAATCACTTTCAAAAGCATATTCGGACTTTCTCTACCCCACTGAAATATTTTCGATAATATGGTGTAGCCACTTTCATTAGAGAGTAGTAGCAACTTTTATTTTTCCAATAGAACGCCCCGTATATAACATTATTTCTGGAATCTACAACAATTATTCGAAAACTTTTCTTGATTTTTCCGTTTTCCTATCTGTTACCGTTTGCGAAATATGAATTAATTTCAATTTTTTTCTTCGAAAATCATGACCTCTAAAAATGCAGATATCTTTGAGTTAAGGAACACTATAATATCCAGATTCGAGAAATCAGGAGTATATAAATTAAAGTGTGAAACGTATCCTAAGCTATACATTGGTCAAACTGGCAGAACATTTAGGAATCGGATCTAGAAACGTCATATGAGCTATGTAAATAAGAAAACAAGTTCAAGATGTGCAAATCATCTTTGAGAAGAAAATCATACCTTCAACGAAGAGTTTGAAATTTCACATATAGAAAATGGAGGTTTAAAACTGAATCATTTGGAAGCAATGGAAATTAATAAACTTAAAAATTCAAACATTCTGTTGAATGACCAACTGGATTTGAATAGATCACCATTATTGAACTTGTATTCTTAAAAAAAACCGTGGAAGTGTTATTATTGATGAACAAGTGAGGTAATATGCTGCAGGTAATCATAATTGAAGGGGTATCTCAGGTATAAAAAAGTTGTAGAGGTTTAGGTAATTTGATGGAGGTAGTCCCAATTGTAGTTACCTATGGTATACAAATATTAGCATAAGAAGCAACTTGTAGTATTCAAATCACTGTTGAAGAAGCTACTGTGTTAGCGAAACATGTCGTGATATATTTCTCAAATGAAGTTTTTGGAGATCAAATCGTAAGATGTAGTTTATGAAGTTGTTACAGAAGTTGAATACTTCTTCGAGTAGGGTGGAAAAAAGCACAAAATAGGCGACATGCGCCCAAGTGTATTCTACCCCACTAAGAAGTATGATTAATATTGCATATACATTGTATCGTACTGTATCGTATTGTATATGAATACATATATTCAGACTGTATCAAGAGAAATCATACGAATATACCTTCAATTTAACCTAATTCAATTCAGTTTTGAACACATCGTACGAGTCCAATCTATTTTTCTGAATGAATTGAAATGAAAATGAAAGTTATGCGCCTCTTGCGAGAAGCAATATGAAGAAAACGTCCGGTATTGTGGAAAAACAATTCATGGTTTTTGCATCACGATATGGGACCTGCTCCCCCGACATTGTTTCGTGACCTTAGCCACCGTATTCACCAGACTTGGCCCCCTGTGCCTTTTTCCAGTTTCAAACATTGAAAAGACCCATGAGAGACATCGTTTTGCGAGGTTCAATATTCATATTCAATACTCAAGGAACGTCACATCCAAAGTAATTAAATTTAAAATCGAACAGGTTTTCATTGAAAGTTGAAATTACGAGTATGTCTTGGACCAACAGAAAACATAAAATTATCAACTGCGCTGTGAAAACAATGAGATGAAAGCATTATTTTCTTTCAATAATATAATTTCGTCATTATGTTAAACACTATTTCAAAATGAATGTAATAATCATAAATATTATGTGAAGGTAATGATATAAATGCCGCTCAATGATGATATTCCGTAATACTGAAAGTTTTTGTCAATTAACAATTTAAACGTCTTTTGGGAGATGTGAACAAAAAAACAAATTCTTTCGAGGAAATATTTCTAATATTTCCTCATATTTCTAATTCAATCAAAAATATTTAGTTTTTTGCATATCAACATTTGCCGGAAGAGAAATTCTTCATTCTGTAAATAATATTATTAATATTTATTTTCAGAGAAAAAAAAACCATTATATTGAGAAAAT